AAAAGATTAAAAAATTTTCTATTCAAAACACATTTCTATAAATAGTTTACTTTGTTCAAAAAACCGCAGTTTACGTATGCAGAAGTAGAAAATTGGAAAGTTATACAGGATGTCCCAGGATTAATATTACATCAGGAAGTGGAAGGTTCCTGAGGTGATTTTAAACAATAGTTTCCCTGGTGAAAATGTTGTTCGAGGCGTAGTTGTTGAGTTATTAACGGAAAACCACGAGAAGATCCAGGACCCAGACTCGCACTTACGAGCTGAGATATGAACACCTGGATCTGCCTTTTGTCCTGCACTATTATATTTTTACACATATTGTTGAAATATTGTTTAAAGTCACCTCAGAAATCTCCCATTTCCGGACGTAGTATTAGTTCTGGGACACCCTGTACACATAAAATAGAAATGCTTCATGAACAAAAATTAAGTCGCTAAGTCATGAAACTTCAAATAGGATTTCGTAAATACACATTTCATATCTTTTCACCACTTTAATGAATGACTATATAGTGATAAAATTCTAAAATTGATTTTTAGATATTTAAATGCGTAACCTTTGTGAACGAACCACATCCACATCTCATTAAATTTGAAAAATATCTAGAAAAAATGTAAGAATACTTTTCAGCCCAATAGGCAGTGAATTTTGAAAAATCCATAAATTAATTTTTAAGGCAGTGTTATTATTAATAGATTTCAGATGTTATTAGTAATCAGATTTCGATGTACCGTTCGGTAAAGCTTTCAAAAAGACCTAGTTAAATTTATAAAGACTAAAGGCCTGTTCTCATTGCCGTAACCGTAGTGAGAATACTACGTGGTAAGTGGTGAAATTTTTGACTCGAAAGATGCCCCGGCGGAGCCTACAGTACCGTAGTAAAAAAATGAAAGTATAGGGAAACCCATGTAAAAGCACGGGGACTTCAGAAAGGCCCGCCGACTTGTTCCGCAGACTAGCACGAAAACCCGGGTCGACTACCCGCTGAGTACCTGCTAGACCTTTTTTCATGGCCGAACCCGTAGAACCCGACCAGGATTTCGAAACATCCACGATCCACCGTAGAATATCTCAGATGTTTAACAATTTTATTTAATAAGCATATATTACATACATGTATAATACACA